GGTTTTTATCTGTTTTACTTGTAGTTTTTATATGCCATATTTGTAATACTTTTATTTTGTATGCACTAACTTATTTTTTAAATTTGTATTTTCATGTTACGGATTTAAAGTTATTTATTTAATGTTTTAATTTTCGTTCATATTTTGAATTTAACGACTTTGATTCATTGTTATACAGTGCCATTATAATTCAAGTTCCACTTTCAAAATCCTGTAAAAAAAGAACCACTCGTTACAATGAGTTCAAATTTGAACTGAAGATACTTGTAGAAAGGGGGGAACGGAATGGCATCAAAAAAAGTTCCACTGTTTTTTCCCATCAAATTTGGTATGAACTTGCCGGGGTGGATGGGCTTTCCACTAGCAGTGTCACAACTGTTGAATGATTTGGAAGTCATCTTTTTCGTTAAAAAACCGAAACAATCAACATATTGAACATTATAGTTGGTTTAATGTGCAACTCATGCCGAATACATTGTAATTTTGATTCAAAATAACACTGGCGGCTGAATTCCCTTTCTTTGTGTTTCTTACAGCGCCATCTAGCACCGCCAGTGGATCCAAAAGATATTTTATATTTTCTGTCTCACTCTCTCCTTAATACATAAATCCCAGAATGGCTCCATGTCTTAATCGGCTTTGCACACATAACAGAATGTAGGACTTGCTACATCTCTGCTTGACATAGATGATGACATCTCCGTAGCAATATTAAAATGAATACTTTATGTAAGCATTATGTGGAAGAAAGAATGTTAAGTTGATGCTCTCTGCTCTCGATATTGCGGCTGTTGTTGCTTACAAATGCGAGACATTAGCTCCTAGGTCATAAGCCCAAGAATTCTATAACGGCACTTTCTGTGATGGCTGTTATTTATTGGCCTATTGTTTGGGTTTTCGTCTGTTTCAATTTTTTTATGCCCTGTTTGTAATGCTTTTATTTTGTATTTATCAACTTATTTTTAAATTTGCTTTTTCATGTTACGTTTAACTTCGTTACGTTTAAATTTGTTTTTTCATTAACTTATTTTTTTAAATTTGTTTTTTCGTGTTTTTATGATTTTAAAGTAGTTATTTATTTAATGTTTTAATTTTCTTTCATATTTTGGATTTAACGGTTTTGTTTCATCGATATGTTTATTTATTTATTTATGTTTTGTTATTAAGTTTTTTTTAACATCGGTGGTTCTTGAGTTCGACTTTCATCCACATGTCCAGTACAATGACAGGATAGTATTGCCCTCCCAGAGGACATTCAGTGGTAATAGGCCCACATTTGCATACAGAGTGGGAGAAAACCCCAAGAATTCCCATCAGGCAGTCTGGCTGTCGATGCGAGAAGCTTAACTTGTCTCAACTGCTATCGAATGTTTTCGTTTCTGAACGCAGGGACTATGAAGTTCCAGTAGATTCAAACATTGTTTTATTATCAACTTATCGAACAAACAGCAATTTACTGTTTGTTTCATTTGTATTTGTCTTTAAGTTGTTAACATTTTAGTAAAACTTTACTTTTTAGGAAAACATTTCTGCAGGGTGAATCCATACACAAAATAACCAAATGTAAATAAATTGATTACAATAAGTATGCCACCCGATTCGTTGTAGCGCGCAGAAGGGCCCAAGTTTGAATTCGATGGTGACCTTTATTACAGTCACACTTCTTACAGAAGCAAGGAGACAAAGAAACTCAATGATTATTACAACAGCGCATGTAAAATCATCTCGTATCGATATTCAGGCTGCCTGGAGGCCAACGGCCATACCATGCTGAATATACCGGCCCTCGTTCGATCACCGAAGTCAAGCATAATCGGGCGCGGTCAATACTTGGGAGGGTGACAACATGGCAACAAGGCGTGTCGTTGGCATTCAAATGTTTGGGGGCCTTAATAGCCGAGTGTCTAGCGCTCTGGCGCTCGGTGCCACAGGTTTCGGGTTTGAGTCTTGGCTATACCATGGATGGTTATAGTGGTTCAGAATCCATTTGAAGCCTTAGGTTCCGTTCTCATATGACTGTAGAGCATCACAGAGCCCAATCAGATTTTTCATCCACATTATTCTCAAACTCAGCTCTAGGCACAGTGGTGGGGTGTAGTAGTAGGCTGCCTAGGGGAATTGTCCGTCTTTTCTCCCTTATGACAAGCAATTTCGTGGCAGTTACCCCTAAAAGGCCTCAAGGAAAGCAATACCCTGTCTACCCACATGGTGGGAGGGCATACTTACACATGATGGAAATCATGGCATCATGGCCCCCCAATGCTCAGCAAAAATTCATTATAACAAGGTTTAATGCCTTTCAATTATTTAGATTAATAAGCTTTTACATGTCATAATCTTTTATGTCTTTGCAGTGTTCATCCTGTGCTGGAGCCCCTACTTCGTGTACGACCTGCTCCAGGTGTACGGGCAGATCCCGGAGAGCCAGACCTCCTTCGCCGTTTCGACGTTCATCCAGAGCTTGGCTCCCCTCAACAGCGCCGCCAACCCCATGATCTACTGCCTCTTCTCCACGCACATCTGCCGAAACTTCAGGCAAGACACTTTCTCTCCTCCCCACCCCACACCATAAATGCTTTGTATTAGTATGCTTAAGACATGAACTTTAGCATTGATTGAACAAGTCCGTTAAATGAAACATCGTAATACGCAGGTTTATGGAAAGTTCGATAATGAATTGCTTTTCACTGAATTGATGTCATTAACCATTAGCAGATGCCGTTGCACATACGACAAATAGGAAAGTACAAAATTCATTCTGTTAGAAATAATAAATGGTCCACTTATTGAAATTCCTCTCCTCCCCCACCTCACCCCATAAATACTTTGTATTATTATGCTTAGACGTGTATTTTAGTATTGATTGAACAAGCTCATTTAAGGAAACGCCATAATTCTCAGATTTAACGAAAATTTGATAATGAATTGGTTTTCACTGTTCTTTCCAAAGTGTATTGAAATGAACAGTTCTTTTAACCATTGATTAACCATGCAATTGCACGTACATCAAACACGAAAATACCAATTCCGTTCTGTTAGAAACATTAAATTTTACAATTACCTAAATTTCTCTCCTCCCCAACCCCATAAATGCTTTGTATTGTGATTGTAAAACGTGAACTTTAGAATTAATTGAACACGTTCATTTAATGAAACATCATAATACACAGATTTAAAGAAAATTTGACAATGAATTGGATTTCACTGTTCTTTCCAAAGTGTATTAAAATGAACAGTTCTTTTAACCGTTGCTTAACCATAAACAGATGCAATTGCACGTACAACAAACACGAAAATACAAAAGCAGTTCTGTTAGAAATAATTAATGGTTCAATTATTAAAAATTATTCAAAAACTAGTGATTCATCAAACCTTTTTTTCAAACTTGCCTATTTAATGGTAAATAGTACTAATTACAAAATATTTGTCTAGTACGTTTTTTCCCTACACAGTTTTGTAACAAATTAATTAACTCAAAATATCACAATCTTGCTCATTAATCTCGATTTTTTTTCGATTGATCCATACAACTTAGTTAAATCTAGTTAATACCTTTCACTGAGGATAAGCTAACTGACTGTATCAGTACTCATATAGTTTTTTTAGCTAATTTTTAATTTTAGGGATTTTTCATTTTTTTTCTGTTAAATTCTATTTCATTGAATTATTATTTAAACATTTAAACAGTACATATTTGGTATTTTTTTATTAAATTCAAAAATTTGTAAATGTGCAAAACATATTTACCAATTTGAGAACATACTAGTTTAGAAAACTCGCTTCCAATTCTTTTTCACATTTTCAGAAAAACGTTAAGAGTTCTTTATTTATTCCAAAAAAAAACCACATCATAAATTGATTATACACATATATTTAACGTTTATAAATACACATATTTTGATGCAATAATGTTTCAAACTAAACATAAATACTCTGAATTTTAATTGTTATTTTAAATACATTTTTGTTTAAAAATAAATGAGATCACATTTGTTGTGAGATTTTCGAGATCAAAATATTTAAAATATTAAATAAAATCTAAATTAAATACTGATACAAATAAAAATCTAACAAATTATACATAGTACTTATTAAAGTATTAAACAAAACATATTGTTTTCACATGTTTTATAATTTTGGTCTCTCATTTATTATGTATTCATTTCAAGCTTTCATTGCTCTTAACTTTATTTTCTAAATCATTACAAAAACAAAAAAACAATAACATCTGGGATCAAACATAATATCCTAATCCTGCACGAGAAAATTCTTCTTACCGGATCGGATAGTAGCAGCTGGTTCAAATCAATTTTTCTCAGGGACGCTCGAATGATTCGATCCTCCTGTTAACCCCGTACTCGATTAAGCTTGCAATGTCCTCTCTTATTATCGACGCAACTAAGTATTCAATTTCATACTCTTATAAGAAAATTAATAGAATTTTATCAAATTATTAGCTTGTTTATACATCAAAAACTGGTGCTAATGTATCATTTATTTAAGGACATTCATTTTATTGCTTGTGTTTTTTATTAAATACAGGATTCAACTTTTATTTACTTAAAATTTACATATTTGCTTTTAAGCTGATGTTTATCTGCATGGCAATATATAATTAATTTTCGTTAACTGTTCCTGAAAATATATTTTTATTCTCAAAATCTAAATATTATAATGTTTTCCAACATTTTTGTCAGGAACTATTTTTGCAATAAAATTAATTTCACTGATCTGATTCAGTAATAAATTCCATGGACTTCTTTAGACATTAAGATGAGTTCCATGGACCCCTTTTGCCAGTAAGATGAATCCTGCAGGTACCTTTTAGACAATAAAATGAATTACTATAAATAGACCTCCTAGCCGTTGTGATGAGTTCCACGAAGCCTTTTCGACACTAAAATGAATTCCATGTATCCCTTTTGCCAGTAAGATGAATCCTACAAATCCCTTTAGATAATAAGATGAATTACATAGACCTCTTAGTCGTTGTGATGAATTCCTCGAAGGTATTTTTAATCTTCTAAGCCATTATCTAACCAATTTTGCTAATTGTTCCATTCAAAATTTAATAATTTTCTTTAATATCATGCTAAGGCTACACAAGTGAACCTAAATATTCTTCACAGATTAAAAGAGAAAAGAAACTTAAATGCAATTTAAGAAGTAGATGATAAATGCAATTATCATCTACTTCTTAAGTCTTTTCAATAATCAATTCGTCAAAAGAAATTTGTATTTTGTTTTGCTTATCTTTCTGTATATATGTATTTATATATATTGCACAAATTATTAATATTGTTTTTATCTTGTATAAAGTTTTTAAAACAAAATTATTTTGTTACATAAAAATAAAAGAATCAAAACCTATCACTTTAAAATCAGCATTTTCTAAATAAAATAAAATAAAAACATTTTTAAATGACCTTAAATTCAGCTCTATCTTATTCCGTTTAGTTAACTAGAATTTAATATTACATACATAGATATACACACTATAGATGTGATACATACATATGCATACTATAGATGTGATACATAGATATACATACTATAGATGTGATACATACATAGATATACATACTATAGATGTGATACATACATAGATAAGCATACTATAGATGTGATACATACATAGATATACATACTATAGAATGATACATACATAGATATACATACTATAGATGTGATATATACATAAATGTGATACATACACAGATATGCATACTATAGATGTGATACATGCATAGATCACAGAAATAACATAGATAGAGTTAATCAAATAAAATACGATGACTACTTTTGTTCAATTATTTAATAAAATCATAATGAATTAATTTTAAAATGTAATTTTAATTTGCTTTGACTACATCCTATAGCTAAAATTTAATGATACAGTGTCCATAGATTTCCTTGCATGCAAATGTCATTTCACATTGTGAGATGTATTCATTTACCATTAAAGCTTTTACTATTATAATTTTCTTAAAAGCTTCAACATCTTGAGCTTTTCTCCTTATAGAGTGGTTCATTGAGCAGTAGTTGTTCATCTATTGAGGGTGCTTCTTTGATGACAATGCATTTTCGTATTTCTTCCCAGAAGGCTTCCCTTCTGCAATTGGATTGCGCAAAAATTGTGCATTTGCTTCCCCTCCATGCAACAACCCCTGCACGACGGCACCTCCCGAGCTTCCGAGTACAACACCATGACCGAGACCATGTCCACCACCCACAGAAACTCCACCTTCCACCAGCACCACCAGATGACCATGATCGGCAGGTCCGCCGCCAAGCCCCTCACCAAGCAGTCCAACGTCAATTCTGCAGAAGACCACCGCAAGGGAGTGGTCTTTGGCGAGGTCTCTGTCGCCAACTGCACCAGAAACTCCAAGATGTAAGGCATCACTGCTGGATCCTTCGTTAAGAAATATCATTTATCTAGATGTTAAATATTTCAATGTACCAGAACCGTAATTCCAATGTCATTGTTGTAATAGAAACCTACTCAAAATGAATGCCATCTCTATGGGCATTTATCCATATGTAAATTGGATTCCTCTTCAGATGGTAATGTGAAATGTTTTGTGTCTACGCTTTGTAATATCACAATTTAAGTTTAGATCGCTTTGTGTGCTACACGCGTAACATATTCAATCTCGCAATAACTTGGTGATCTCAGTTCTAATACATGGAGTTATACCTAATAAGCATTAATATAAATTACAACCATCATGTTAAACACAAATATTACCAATTTAACTTTTATTTTCATGATGGTTATAATTTACATCAATTAAAATATATAATTTGTGTAAAAAAATTTTAGTTTTTTAAAAAATTTTATAATTTAAATCAAATTCAATGAGT